TTATCTGTGATGCATGGAAAAGTGTAGATGTGGTTGAAATCGTACCAATATCACTCATCGTGGAAGTGTTCACAGAAGTCTCATCTTTGTAACTCTGAATGGAATTTGACAGCAATGTTTATGACATCTTCGAGCGATACTTTATTGCTGTAGACCAATTCAGGCTTACTTTGGTTAGGCTGTTGTTGAAACAAAATGTTTGTACCAAAATAGTATGAAAGTCTCTTTTCTGTAACTTTGTCTTTCAGAAGATCACGGTATCTCTGTAACATGTAGAACATAGAAAATGCTTTTCTGTTTATAAGAATGTCATTTTCAACCTCAGAAATTAGTTCACAAAAACATTCTTGATATATATCCTCGTCTTTTCTGTCACTTGTAAGTGACAATTAAGACTCTGGGTTTCATTTGATGGTGAAACTCTTAAAGCAACCTTTATGGTATTTTGCTTCATATGCAATTAAGTCCAATCCAGCTATCCTCTTCAGGACAGTATCATCTTCCTTGTTATCAGCTGCTTCGAATAGAGTTTGTTGCCCTCCAAAAGTTAGTATTTGAGACAGACTCTTCTCCTTCTGACATATTATACACACATTCCAGTTAACAGGCTGACGGGTAGATCTTTGACTGCGCAAGCTTGCACACTGAATGGAGTCCATGGATGTGCTAGGTTCTGCCATTGGACATGGACTGGAACTTCTTCCTTGATGCATAAATGGCTTTAGGTTGGTTTTGCTGCAGTAAGACTGGTGACATCGTGCATGATAATGTACTTGTGGCAATGTCAATAATGAATCAATATCCAAAGACTGTAATCTCTGATAAACATGGTCTCTTCTAGCAAGATATGCACAATGAAAAGACTTAGTCCTGCTGGAGTTGCAGTCCTAAGCTTTTCAGGTGTCGAAACCTGGCAAATTATACACTTAGACCAGTCACTAACCAGACGAGGTTTTTTTGTTAGAAGGGTCAAGGTCTCAGGAAAGTCATCAGCCATTATTGTATTTCTTTATGTTCTTGCTGCTATCTGAATGGAGATTCAAATAAAACATAGAGTTACATCAGATTGTCATGACATGCAACATTATTATATTTGTACACTTCTTTCTTATATTGATGCAGTTTAAATTTTCTTCCATATTAGAATTATTCAATACCTCAACAAGATACTTGGGCTACATTTAACATGTATTAAATAATACTTAAACAATAATGAACGACCCGCCAACCCATAATGGGCGAAAGCTCACTTTGTGCAACATATATGGAGCACAAAGTGTGCTTGAGTCCATTATGGGT